ACACACACACACACACACACACACACACACACACACACACACACACATACATACACACACACACACACACACACACACACACAATTTACACATTACAACGTATTGTACTGATTTAGCTTTCTAACTTTGTTATCTTTTCTTTTCTTTTTATTATGATGTATTAATAGTTATTAACTGCACCTTTGTCACATATTTCTAGATCGAGTCTGAGAGTCGGAATACTGTAACACAGGGTATCCTAGTACAGATTCCGCTCTTTCACAATGGTCAAACACATTGTCATTTCAACTTCTGTATGTATCTATTATAAGATGAATACCATTGTGATTGGAAATAAATGATGATTATTATTATTATTATTATTATTATTAACTTACGTTTGTTTCTGCCAGAAGAAAGTCTCTTAGCAATATTTTTGAAGTGTTTCGAAGTTATAGAATACACAAAACATTCTTTGGAACCCATCGACTTACAATCACCTCGTGCCAAAAATGAATGAGGCTGACAAAATATGCAACTCATACATAGGGCGCACTATAAGTTTCCGGACCTGTCCGCTTACATAAACAATATTTAAAAAGTAATTATAACATTTGAAAATTTAACTCTTTGGCTGTAAAATACAGTTTGTTTCATGTCTGTCACTGTCACTTGTTTTTGCTTTGTGGCATCATTTTAGAAATTGGTTGTATATATTGCCATGGATTTAACTCGTGAAAATTTTCGTAGTATGATTTTCTAAGACTTTAAGTGTAATCTAACAGCTCAGTGGAGTTTCTCTCGGCTTCAAACTGCTTTCGGCGATGAAGCACCATGCAAGACGACTATTTATAGCTGGTTTGCAGAATTCAAACGCAGTCGTATAAATCTCAGTGACGAATTTCGTGATGGTCGCCCGTCCACTGATGTGAACAATAAAAACATCGATGCTGTGCGCCGTATAATCAAAACAAACAGGCATGTGACATACCATGAGATTCGGGCATCTTTAGGCATAGGCATGACTCAAATACAATCAATACTACACAAACATTTGGGTGTGAAAAAGCTGTGCTTTCGGTGGATCCCACACAATTTGACTGAGGCTCTAAAAACGGATCGCGTCACTTGGTGCAATGCCATGCTTACCAGATTCAATAAAGAGGCGCCAAATTAGGTGTGAGATATAGTAACAGGTATACATGTAAACAGGTAAACATGGATTCATAGTTACGATCCCAAAACAAAGCAGCAATCGTGCGTATGGGTCTTTCGAGATGAGCCGAAACCAACCAAAGTTACGCGCGTGCAAAGTGTCTCTAAGCGGATGATTGCTCTTTTTTTTAAATAAAACTGGACACATGGCTACTGTTGCTTTGGAGAATCGTTGTACCGTGAATAGTGATTGGTACACGACCATTTGTTTGCCGGAAGTTATTGATAAGCTCCATAAAATAACCGTAAACGCCGTATCATCTTGCACCACGATAATGCCAGTTCTCACAGCGCCAGACAGACAAATGAATTTTTGAAGCAGAACAACGTTGACCTTATGAGCCATCCCGCGTACAGTCCCGACCTGGCACCTTGTGACTTTTATTTATTTCCAAAAATTAAGAACCAGTTACGCGGTCAACGATTTTCAGCACCTGAAGAGGCTGTCGAAGAGTATAAAAAATATGTTTCAGAGATTGTCACGAAGGAGTGGCATAAATGTTTTCAATAGTGGTTCATTCGCATGAAAATTTGCATTAACGTTCCGTTAGGAGAATATTTTGAGAAACAATAAATTTATTTCTGACTATGTATTTTTTTCTTATTCATTCCGGAAACTTATAGCGCGCCACACGTATCATTGTCTTTAATTATCCTTGAGGTATATTGTTTCGTGAAGAGGACAATTTTTAAGTGCATATATTGCCTTTGCCATCCATATTGCTTGATGCAGACTCCCTGAAACTCTGAAAGCGAAGTCGTTTCTAGACCAACCTCCCGGGTACACAAGTAAGAGTTGTAATAACTCCTTGTAGTCTTCTCTTGGATGGTTACCGTTGTTTAGAACGTTTTGGATTGACGACCTCCGTGCTCGAGTGACTTGCACACCGGTTTTCATGGTGTCGTCATATCGGAGGTAACGGGTATGATCCACCCACGGCCCGATAAATGAGAAAAACGAACTTTTCTTTTCTTTTCTTTTGTCTCGGATCTTGGTGTTTGTGGCAGCGTCATAGTTTCCAATTTCCATAACATAAGTGCTTTAGTTACCTACTTTGGGATCAGAGCGACGTATGTGATGTTGTCTGATGTTATCCAGTCCTGTTCCTTTGAGGAGTCCGAGATCCTAAAAACTTACTACAAGGTACCTTTTCTACTATGGTTCCCACTTAATTAAACAGAATTAACTACAAAAAATTAAAGAAATACATGAAAAGCTCATTAGTGTAAAAGCACTTCAATATTCGAAATTTCACTAGTATGAAATAAACGTGAAGAAGTGTGCAACCCCTTAATATTAGGGGTTAAAATATGAAATTGCCGTTTTATTGCAATAGGTTCTTTGAATTTTCATAGAATCTTCATGGTTTGAGGTTTTCGAATGAAACTTTTTTCAAATGGTTTCTGTGATTTTTTTTTTTAATTTGAAACATTTGAATATCGACTTTCAATTGTTTTTGTTATTCAATTTAGACAAGAAAGATGGATACTGCGAAAATTCGAGTGATTTTTGAATACGAGTTCCGACGCGGAACTAACGCGGTAGAAACAGCCCGCAATATCAATGCTGCGTTTGGAGAGGGGTCTACTAACGAACGCACCGTGCGATTTTGGTTTAAACGCTTTCGTGATGGAAATTTCGACTTAAAGAACGAGTCACGAGGAAGACCGCCCACACAGGTGAATAACGATGAATTAAGAGAGATAGTGGAAGCCGATCCTAGTCAAACTACCCAGGAATTAGCGGCATGGTTTAACGTTACCTTACCCACAATATTGACTCACTTGCGTCAAATCAATAAAATAAAAAAATACGAAAAATGGGTGCCTCATGATTTGACTGATCTACAGAAAGAAACGCGTGTTGAAACTTGTGTTGCCTTGTTGAACCGGTACAGAAATGAAGGAATATTGGATCGAATTGTAACATGTGATGAAAAGTGGACTCTTTATGATAACCGGAAAAGAAAAATGCAATGGCTGACCCCAGGTCAAATGCCACAACAGTGTCCTAAAGCAAAACTTACCAATAAAAAGGTAATGGTAACTGTTTGGTGGTCTCAGCATGGTGTTATTCACTATAGTTTTCTCCGATCTGGTCAAGCAATAACGGCAGATGTCTATTGTGCCGAACTCCGAACCATGTTGACAAAACTAGCAGTAAAACAGCCCCGACTCATGAATCGATCTTCACCATTATTGCTCCACGACAACGCGAGACCTCACACAGCACGAGAAACCATTTTGACCCTTCAGGAACTGCAGTTAGAAACCATTCGTCATCCTCCGTATTCACCAGACCTTGCTCCAACGGACTACCATTTTTTTCGTGATTTGGACAATTATCTACGTGACAAGAAGTTTTCTTCCCAGGAGGCAGCACAAAATGCTTTCACACAGTTTGTGCAGTCTAGATCGTCGGAGTTCTATCGCAAAGGCATTAATAACCTTCCCATTAGATGGCAGCAATGTATAGATAATAATGGCAACTATTTTGATTACATAAATTTGTTAAAAATTTAAAAAATAAACAATTTAGATTTTCAGTACAAATCGGCAATTTCATACTTTAACCCCTATTATTATCCAATGGTCTTGAAATTCTGCATATATATTTTATACAACACTGAGACTCGGGGCGTAAGCAAAGCATATGAAAATCACATCTTTGGAAAAATGAAACACCTTATGGGAGTGCTTACAGCGACTTTTTGGACTGGAGCCACCGTCACGTTTCCACTATCGCACCTCCCGCCTAAGGAATAGAGCCCAATCCTCACGACATTGATGCCTAGCAAAGCAAGATGTGGAATACTGAGACTCGTGGAATATTCCTCTTGAACTCTTCCTTTGCGATATGACATGGCATTCTTCAAAAAGCGTGTCAAGAGGGCTCTCAAAGGCTGGAAACGCATAGGCTGCTCATCTGATGTTGCAGATGTCCACGGGTGACGATAATCACCTCCCATCAAGTGGCTCGTCTACTTTACGTTAAAAAAAATTGAGTCTCACTAACTAAATAATACGACTAACATCTTCCGTGGGACATAGAGGCGGAGATGCTGGTCGAGGTCCACCAATATAAGTAGCCAATTGCTGCGTACAGCTTGCCTGATCCATGCACTCTGAGAGGGGTAGCTTTTTTTTAACTTACTGAGTTCCACTTGTGAGCGAAAAGGATTGATCGTTAATTTAGTGGTGACTCGGCGGCATTTTTCACACGCTAGCCTTCATAAGCGGGTCCCAATGCATTACCTCGGCACAATGCCCACAAATTATTTAAGTAAATCTGAGGAAACTCTTTATAAGTCATCTTGAGGGAATCCTTATTTTTCAATTTGAACTTTGCGGAAAGAGTTTTGAAAGCCGCTCTGTTCGTCTACAGCTTACTTCAACAATTCCGTCAAAGTATCTAGTAAGAACTCTCCTTAGAAGTTTATATGAGGACGAAGAATTGTCATGTTTAGGAAATGAAACTATATTTCCAGATTTAAATCGCATATATTTGTTTTTTCAAACAAACCGACGTTTCGGGCCCTTGACCATGGGACCTGTAAAGAGCCCGAAACGTGGCGTCGGTTTATTTGAAAAAACAAATATACGCGATTTAAATCTGGAAAAATAGTTTCATTTCCTATGTGTAACAATCGCGAAAACCTAAGAACTCGAACTGTTATGTTGTTTGTGTTTATCATTTATTTCCATCCTAAGATGAGTCGCACTTGGTAGCGCAAGACCATATCAGGCTTAGGTAGGGTAGAACTAAGTAATATTTCTGCACAATAAATACAAAGCCTAACCGTTAAATAGTGTCAATACGGCCGACAGTATCTGATCACTTTTAGCTCGCTAACTATAGACTATTATTTACAAGGAAATGTAATTTTACGATTATTTAAAATTTCAATTCGAAGTATAAGGTTTTTTTTTTATATTTATACGTTGGATCTCGACGGGAATCCATCGAGATTGCCATCCAATGAGAACCAAAATCGTGACTTTTAGTCCACCTCTCGCCACTTCATGTAATAGCAATGGTTGAAAAAGCAAGTAAGGAAAAACGTTATGGCGTCAAAAGAGATGATTACATGGACGTTAATAAGTGACTGCTATCTCATGTATGTTATACTTGTAAGCTGTTCGAATAATGGTCAAGATTTTTTTTTGCAGATACTTTGCTATTGTTTGCTTTGGCGTTACTGTCGGCCAAAATACATGCCATACTCGCGTTCGTGATGGTTTACCGGCGACAACTCTTAATTTGTGTGCATTTAAAAAGGTAAAAATTCGTAAATATGACTGACAATTTGTGTTTATTTTTAATTTGTAATTATTTTTTCTTTTTTGGATCTTAAAGGACACTTTTTATGTAATTGATTTATGTGACAACGGTATGACTGTAATAAAATATTTTTATTTAGAGTGGTACTGAGGAATATGCACAAGATTCATATACATGGAGAGGTGCGTTGCATACAATAGAGCGAGCTATATGCACGTCTCAGTCGACGTTGCTGGCTCTTCCCTCAAAAAAACAAACTTCGCTGTTGCAACAAATTAGTAGGCGTGCCAGTAAGTTTTTAACATATTACCCAAATTGACAGTAATAAATCTCGTAGCATGGTATAATATTCGTTTCATCTAATGAAAATATCTACTAATTGCTCATTGTTATCAGAAATTAGTATCTCTGAAGATACACAAGATGAAATCACACTTCAAGATATGGGCATCGAGTTAAGAAAGGTGTCCATTATTCAAACGTTCCTGCGAGACGTCTTTAATATTTACTTGGATGACGAAGAAATTTTGAATTTGACTTCCCTAAAGTAAGTTTTTTAGTCAAATGAGAGCTGACTGTACAATAATTGACAATTCGATTGAAAAATATGAAATTTGCAGAATTCGAGAATTGGAGGACACAATAACAGGGAATAAATTCAAGTCCGTGCGTGGCCTCGGGACTTTCTTTTCATATGTTGACCCTGACGAACTGCTCGCCACAAATGAATGGGTCTCCTTGCCAACACGCGTTGATAACGGCAACATGGTAATTGTTTTGATCATGTTTTATTATACAGACATTGGGAAAATTTATCGAGACTTCATCAAACAAGGTTTCTTTCAGAGAGAGGATGAATTCGATGTTTCTAAGAAATATATATTCATCATTCCTGGAATGGAAGGCCACTATGCAAGGTTTCAAGTGCTGGGCGAGAGGCTCATGTTATCCGCCATCGTGCTGCAGCCTGGCCTCGACTTATTACACGAAAGCATCCGGGAAACTGCTGAGAGATATGCCAAAGTAATTATAAAAACTTACTATAGGTTTTGTCATTCAAATAGTTGTATATTCTATAATTATATTTTCTTTTTTAGTTTTTACTGAAAAAACTCGAAGTAAAGAACAACTATTACCTATTAGGGTACGAATCTGGAGTTTCAATATCGTTAGAGGTAGCTGCTATCCTAGAAGAACACGGTGTGACTGGCACAGTGTTCTGTGTTGGTGGTACGCCAGAAGATATTCAAGCTACACTCTTGGATCAAATTAGTGAATATGAAACTGAGGAAGCTCTGCAGGATGCAGTGGCGAAACATATGTACGGTTTGATGTCAGGGAACACTGAACAACTAGACCAAACCCTCGTGAACGTATCATCATGGAACGAAAAGATAGAGGCGCACGTCAGAACTTTATTGGGAAAGGTGCCACATTCAGCGCAGTATGCTCGAGCGTGGATCAAGACGGCTTATACGCGCATAGCACAATTGCGATCATACAAGGTACAGCCGCGGCAGCTGCGGTCTAAGCTCATCCTACTTCGAGCATCTCTCAGCACTGACTTACCCTCGTTCGAAGAAACGACGGCTTTAATGCAACGCTACTCCAAACAGCCTGTGGCAATGTACCAGTTACAGGCTCCTCTAGCGGAAGCAACTTATGACCTGCGCTGTGGAGGGATTATAAATCGCCATTTGGATGACGAAACTCAGCAGGCTTACAAGGAAGCCAACCTTTGTGAAACTTACTTGGTAAATCCAACCAAGTTCATAGATTGTAATGACATTACAAGTAATTAAAACCCAATTTTCAATATTTATTTTACATTGTTATACGTACCTATTATTACGAGCCCTGTACCTACGGTGGGGTCCGGCTCGGCCTGCGGCGCGTAGTCGGATTTAGATTACGGGGTGTGCTTATGTTCTTCGGTGGCATAGCTGTTAGTACCTACTATGGGCGCCTTTTGAGGAGATTCCGGGTTCTATTCTCGATTTGGGCCAATTTAACTTTGGAAATTGGAACGATAATTTCCAAGTTAGTTCTATTCTGGGTATTGCCCTCAGAATAATTGTTATTCAGAGATTCATAGTACAGGAAATTCCCTAATTTGAGACCAGATATTTGATGTAATCGTCTGGCATTTGTTTTCCCTAAATACCTCAGCAGTTCAGCACCAATGACTTTTGTTTAAAACAATTAAAATAGCTCTTTGATGGCGCCCATAATTAAATATTACAAAAATATATTTTGACCACAAATTATTATCAGATAATCCTAAAAATCTTTTCATGCCAATTTTTATCCCGAACAAAGCAAGTTTTTTCAACAGCTAATTATATCGAAAAAAGTACGCTTGTACGGCGGCTACATGGAAAAATGGCAAAAACAAAATTTTTACCCCTAACTATAATTAGAAGCTATGGTATTTTCAGTCAAATTACAGCAAATTTTTATCTACTGCCAAAAAAAGTTTGTATGGCAGCCATAATGAAAAATGGCGAAAAATAAATTTTCATCGCGAATTATTATTAAACACTCATGGAAACCCCGACATGCCAATTTTCAGTCGAATTAGAGCAAATTTTTATCTGCCGCCAAAAAACGCTTGTATCGGGGCCACATTGATAAATGGCGGAAAGCTAATGTTGATCATAAATTATTACCTAGAGACTATTTCCTAGAGAAGCCCACATGCTAATTTTCAAAGGGATCAGAGCAATTTTTTTCTGCCCACAACGTAGTCCTGTATGGCGGATATATTTGAAAATGGCGAAAAACTAATTTTAACCACAAATTTTCATCCGGCACTCCTGTGGATGCCACATTTCAGCATGCCAATTTTCAGTCGAAACAGGGCAACTATTTTTTAGCAGCCATGTTTTGACGAAAAGAAACTTGACACCAAATTATGATTAAGGACTACTAAAACCTCCGCATGCCAATTTTCAGTCGGATCGAAGCAAGTTTTTCTTCGGCCGCCATTTTGAATTCGCCATCTTGAACTTTTTTTCCACACACAGTTGATCACTGTTACCCTCTATGACTTTCCTTCCAGCACCTCCTACCTATCACTAATAGTTTCCGTGGTTCCGTGAAGACTGAAATTTCCATGGCTGCCATCTTGTTTATTTGAATTTCGAACATTTTTTGCTTTCTGTAGAAATTGACCAAGGTGTATCTCATAAAAGTGCACAAATATCCCCCCATGTATTATAGTTGTTGCAGGCCGTTGATCACTCGTTTACAATCGGGAAGTATGCGTTCTGTTTCTACCAGTGAGTCGTAACTTGTAGCTGTATAGACATATACATAATAACATACTGAAATATTATAAGGAAGGTGTGGTTGAGTTATGAAGATAAGTTTCTTGAAATATTACTTATTTGACGTTTGCTGTTTCTGTTATTTTTATTTTCAAACCACAATCTCAAAACTTGCTGATGGAAGAATTCACTAGCGAGTAAATAAAGATGTGCTTTATTTAATTTGTTTGTGTTTTAGGTTTAGTGTTAGTTTATCAAAGATGTGCTTATTACATAAATTGCAAATAAATGCGTGCATTTTATTTCGTTCTAAGCAATTGGAGTCGATACTGGTTGATCTACGTATCCGCTTTTAACACAACCATGGAGGTAACCTGCACAGCACTAGGAGTAGTAGAACAGCAGAAATATCGTTACCGAAAAACTATTATTATAGTAATAACACAAACAAGACAAACTGTATGTATTCATATATTACATAATATTATATTGTGTATTCTTATAGAAGTTTGTGTGGTTGTTTTCCATATAGAAACTATACTACATTAGATAATTGAACAATCCAAAATATTGCTGAGAATTCGTTTCAGCAAAATAATTTTTCTTAAATAGAATATAATATACACACTTTGCTCCAAAAAAAGAATGTAAAAATATAATATCCCTGGATAGGAGCTTACGGAGTTTTTTAATAATAACTTTAAATTAATTTATAATTTACAAATTATTACACTATTTAATTCCATTCCATTCCATCGCCGGGGGACTAGGCGAAGGCTATGTTGTGGATATTCCAAAGATTCGCACGAAGCGTTACGTTTCCACATTTATATGGCGAACGGCTATGGAGTGGAATTCCTTGCCTGCAGACTAAGGATCGTATTCCCGAACTCTACTCAATGCTCAAGTTAGGATTTGAGCACACTTGAGTATGATTTCAAGCACAGGAAATACGACCCTAATGGTAAGGCCTTGAGTATGATTTTCAGTGCTCACTGCAATACTCCAGTCCTGACTGAGTATTGAGGAGAATTCTGGAATACGACCCTTATTCCCTGAACGTTATAACTTGGGTCTTTTCAAGGGGAGAGTGAATAGGCATTATTTCGGTGTGCATGCTCTATCGTCGACCTCATCGTCACTTTCCATCAGGTGAGATGGAGGTCAAATGCGCACTTATATTATAAAATAATAGTAATAATAATAAGCATGGTTTATCCTTTATTTGTATCAATCACACTTAATTTAATCCGAGATAAAACGAAACATAAAACAAAAAAGGACAAAATGGTTTGAATTTCGACTAAGTGTGATCTTTAAGCCATAGTATAGGCACATAACCCAAACTAGGCAAAGTCAATAAGTAGGTATAAAGTTAATAAAATACACCTATTTAGTAAATAAAATAAATCAATAAATAGATAGTTGCATAAATACAACATATATAACACATACACCAAATGTAATAAAAATAATAATAATTGGTAAATAACTCATCTGATACTCACTAACACCACATTAGTTAGTTACCTGATGTAGATATTTAGGTTTCTAAGAGAAAATTATATAATTTTAGCTTTAAATGTTTTTTTTTTTTGTTTTAGTTGAATGCATCAATATGTGAGAATTTTCTGTTATGCATGTGGACAATTCTACTAGTGTTCGGTAGTGTGTCGACTCCTACGCTTAGATACATTAAAACAAATTTGCGACATTAAATCTTGACGATTTATATATACGGCATTTTTAACCGACTTCAAAAAAGGAGGAGGTTCTCAATTCGACTGTGTTTTTTTGTATGTATGTTACGCGATAACTCCGGTATTTGTGAACCGATTTTCATGATTCTTTTTTTGTTGGAAAGGGGGTACTTCCATAGTGGTCCCATTTCATTTTGAAGAAAACCATCCACCTCTGAGGGTGGCTGTTTACGCATGAAGATTCATTTTTATAAAAAGCGCCTAAATTTTACTAAGGAGCAATTATTTTAATGGTTGATTTTGCTATTTCTCCAATTCAAGGCGTTTTCCTCTCCACATACTTTGAGTAGTGAGAACCGATTTTTATTATCTACAGTGTCAAGCCCTGTATAGTGGCGAAATTAAGGATATTTCAATAAAACTTGGCAAATAGACGTAATTCCACGTACTTTTGAGGTCGTTTTTTTAAGTACTATGTACTGAGATTATTTAATCATGCTAAGTCCCATATCTAACATATGTCTAACTGCCTCCGTGGCCGAACGGTTACCATACCGGACTGCCACGCAGAGTCCCGGGTTCGATTCCCGGACCGGGAGAAATATTTGTATGGCCCACATTTATTTCTCACGTGAGTTTGGGTATAATTTGTGGTTGTCTATGTATGTGTCCATGGCACCCACGCCACAGGGTTTCCCTAGTGCGGGGCAATGTTGTGTGTACGTTATTATTATTATTATTAACACTTCCCGGCCTTCTCCAATAGTCAGGAGGTTATGTTTATGACAACTATCTGTTTAAGACATAGCGGTTGAAGTTGACAATCTTTTTCTACAGTTAAGTTGTTTTATGAACTTTTTCTGTATTCTCTCTAGCCGTGTCTAGACCAAGTAATACTAGTACCACATTCTACTCAATATAGGTACTCGAGCGCTCCCCCCCGAATGGGTTCCCGCCTTGTCGTAGCGGGGGGGCTCTAGTAGCCGTGGTCGATTTCATCCCACGGTGAAGCTGTACCGCGCGGGCTCGTCTTGATCTAGGCCGAGCGGGTCCGCGTGGACGCATGCGGGGAGGAGGGTCGCGGGGGAAGAGACGTGTTGGTGTGTCGTTGCCACTCGTCCTGTCCTCCGCGGCCGAATTTGGGCGATTGGCCCGTGCGGTAGGCGCTCTAAAGAACTCTCTGCGGAGAGTCCACGTGGATGCGCGTAGAGTGTTGCGGCGGAGCTTACCAACAGATCCGCCGCGAGGGCTGGGGGAGCATCCTCTGAACTTCACAGTTGAGGGGATGTTGTCCTGGCGCCATGGCCCCTGCAAAGGTAGCGGACTCGGGGGAGTTCGCTGCCCAGCATGGAGGGGTTCGAGATGGAAGGCTCGCCTGGTGTTCGGCGATCCTTACATTTGGATTCGGGGGACCGTTGTGTCTCCCTTCTCGGAGAGGGGCTGCGCTGGGCGCGGCCAACCACTGGTGGAGGCGCGGACGAGCGATAGCGTACCCGTGCTTCCACCTGCAGCGGAGAGGAGAAACACCTCGGGGGTTTGGTGCAGTCGGGTTGCTCCCCTTCAGGGTTCAGCTCAGTCCCACATAACCCCGGCTCTGCCCCCGCAGGGCCGGGGTATCTGTAAGCAGACTCCCTCGGGTAATAAAAAAATGGTGCTCAAGCGCTAATCGATGCTGCATACGCACATATAGTACCATTGCGATGGTAATACCGCAGTAGCTGCATTACCATCGAGCATTACTTCGAGCGTCTCTCTCAGTACTGGTTTTCTGTGGCTTCCAATCAATCAGCAAGGTACCAGTTGCAGCGTGCCAATTACAGACTCCTCTGGGTGAGGCAACTTGCGATCTTCGCTGAGGAGCAATTATAAATCGATATTAAAATGCGAGAGTGAGAGTGTTTTAATGCCTAATTTTACACAGTTACGTACACTGCTTTAACTACACACATATTATTATAAGCTCCCTATGATGTGTTCAGGAACCGCATGTTACGACTGGCGAAATGACGGCAAATAAAAACTTTTTTTATTTAATTCATAGACAAACTAGAGTCGGTCCCAACTATCATATCGTTCGATATCAAGTAACGTGTGAAATTTGTCAAAATTGTTTGCCATTGACATTTCATTTCGAATAAAACTTCATCTCTACTGATATTAGAATCTTAGAGGATGGAAATAATAAAGGAAAGGAGTTGCCCTATCTATGGAATAAACGTATCTACCTAAACCAAAATTGTACCACACAAATGGCGGATTTCTTTAATGTTGTACCATAATCATAGATAAGTCAATATCGACATGCAAATTTATGGCTTCAATATTGAAACATAGTATAAGTATATATATATTTATATATATATATATATATAAAGTATATCAATGTTCCATTTGGGAATGTTTCATATCATATGGGAATATCCGGAAATATCATATGAGATTTTAAAGCTTTTTGCATTTATAAATGCTCACATATTGCGAAAAGTGAATTTGCACAAAAAAAATGAAATTTAAGAGTATATTAAAAAAAAGAAAAAATATTGTAATCTAAATCTGAAGATCCCTACGCATTTCCAATGTCTAGATTGATATTAGAAAGAAATTTTAAAAGGTTTCCAAATAATGTAAGATGCTTTGTATTTATGCATTGGTATGGAATTGATATCAGTGATTTTGATTTAGGTGAATCTTTAATAATTCGTTTTAATTTTTGAAATAAATAAAATTACTTATATAATAGTAATAATGTTATTGATAATCATACAACCACATATAATATTATTAATAATACGTTTATTTACTTAAAGCATGTTATAACAGAAGATGTAACAAGAGACAGTGCCAGTAATAACATGTTTCGCGTATTAAACAACCATATACGTATTAAACTACGACAATAATAAAAATGTCACTCATGTCATGTCACAATGTTACAAATTAAATTTCCCAAGAAAGATTAAAATCAAAATAAAATTTTCCATCTTATTTCCTGTCAAATAATTTATTTACTTATGTCATAAAAAATATTTTTATTTAACCACTTACTTAACTTCGTTTTAATCTCGAACTGTTCATATGTTGGTCGCTGTCAGTTTAGTTTTAAGGAACTGAGAATGCATAATAATGAGTATTTTTAATCAAAATTAAAATTATTTACCTATAAATGTAACGATGGAATTGCATTATCATGTAATATAATATTACATGCATGTAACTGTAATTGCATTCAAATTTCTATTGAAATTTGCCTCTTTAAAATGATGCGAACAAACGAAAATGGTACTAGATCCTATGTTTATATTCGGCAGTCCTATAATTTCCAATCATTCTTACTTCCTTTTTTGAGTTGTGGGTAACCTTTAAAAATAAAAACAATAATGTAATAATAAAAACCTCGTAGTTAATTGTTTTAATAACAGAATATCGATGATATGTATGCTTACAAGAACAACAATATCACAAAATAATCGTTATCAACAATCATCAAAATATACTAACAAACAGGCAATCTGTAGTAACCAAATTCTATCCTATACAATTATTCAAAATTCGGCAAGACTTATGAATAAACTACTCAAATGAGTCTCGTTACATGAGATATTTGGGCTATGGTATGATTTATAGACAGAAAAATAACACATGTAATGTAACATTCGGTTGATTTCCGCTTTTTCT